CTTGTTTATGATTTGTGATATTAACTCCAAATTCAGGCACTTAAAACCGCCCTTATCTATTTAGGCCAATTTCTTGAGGCGCCTGCTTGTGATTGGATAGAATTTTGGCTTCCAACTTTGGCATTTCATCTTGGTTGGAATCCAAAAATTAGATCATACGCATTTGTTGTTGATTTTTGTAACATGAAGGATAGTTTAAGAATCGGTAAGTATCGTATCGACCTATGAACTGACATCTTTCAAACCCAGCCCCTAATGCAAAGCAATCAAGACTACCCATATGCTTTTTTTTCCTCTTGGCCTCTCTGTGCTCTATGCGTCAACGGACATAATTCGTACACATGACACAGCAGCTCACGTTAATAGATTTGAGAGGGAGACGGTCAGACAATGGAGGCCCTCGGGGCAATCAGATGCATTTAGTCCTTCATTTCCCCTCTCCGGCGTTACCCAGCGGCAACCCCTGGTTGAATTCTGAGGGGTGTCGACAGGAGAGATGTGGGGCCAGTGACAAGGCAGAATTACTCGGACGGCCTGTGCGCCATTGGTAGCCATCCTCACAACAGCCCAGTTCTATTCTGTCTGCACTCTCCATTTTCTTTCTCACTCCACTCAGAGTTAATTTGTTTACTCAGTTTTCTTTTTAATATACCTCAGGTTCAATGATTTTTTGTTCCCCCCTGACTTTCCCGCGCGCGCGCTTCTTTTTAGCGGCTCAGCATTCTTTCATTGACAGCAGACGGACGGAACGGAATATGGGTCATTGCATGCAAACAATTTATGGCTGTACAAAAACTGAATGAGAATACTGATAAGGGCAAAAAAGGAAAATAAGAGTTTTAACAGCAGAAGGCGAACAGCACAGGCAAACATCAACTACTAACTCCCTTGTTCCCCATTCTGTTTCCCGTGCACAAACAAATGCCAACCCCAAAGACAGGAAGTAAAAGAGAAAGGGTAACAGAATGATGCAGAAGACGCGGAAGAATAATAAACAAACATAACCTGAACAATGAACCAAGAGGTACGTCCGCAACTAGGGGAAAACAATGTGGAAGAGAGGGCAGGAAAACGGGCGCAAAGAGAAGCACAAACCAACTTGAAAGCAAACTTAGCACAATACCCTAAACGTCACTAACATGCTACTTGTCTAAATCTTGAAGAAAAAGCTGGAAACTATCTTGCGACGTCTGATCCTCCTTTTCATAGCATCGATTTCCGTGCCATTTACGTTATCGGGTTATCAATATGTAATTGCATTTGTAGTAACTAGGAACACTCTTTAATGGGAAACAGCAAAACTGAAAACAGTGAGTGCACTGCACCTGAAAAAAAAGAAAGTGCCAGGACTACAGTAGGTTTGGTGTTAATAGATTAATATACCCATCGTTGACTTTACTGACTTGAAAAATTAACCATTACTTTTTCTAACCAGCTGTAGACTGGGGCTTTGAATTTTAATAGACAAAAACAACGCAAAAACTTACTGAGCTGAAAGACTCGTAAAATCGCTCCTAGGCTCTGACTTGATGATAAATGATCATCCTATCCGTCACCACAAGCAACCACCTTTCAACATAACCACAAAGTAGGCTTTTGTTGATAAAGCATTTTATGCTTTTTATTGAAAGCAGGCCGGGGAAGAAAGACCTAATAAGCATGCGTCCCAACCTCCGACTGGCGCAGCTGAACGCACCCTGAACAGCAAAAGTGAGCATCGCATTTAATTATCGATGCGCAACTACCATCCGAGAGCCAACCGACCACCACACACATACACACCATACACAGCATACAGCACACACACACACACACACACACACACACACACACAGCGACACCACAGCACACACAACACACACACACCACACACACAACACACACACACACACAGCACACAACACACACACGCACACACGCACACACACAACACCATAATCGGCCTCCCTCATTAGCGGTATTGGGGGGATGCTGATGGTAATGCAAGTTAATTGTTGGCTCCTGGTTGGTCTGGGCGCAGCGGGAGCTCTTTGTGTGGGGGAGCCATTATCCGGCCCCCGCCGCCTGCGAGACAGATTCATTAAGATTGACGTGATACCCAAGTACCCCAGGCCTTTTGTGCATGTGCTGTGTGTGTGTTTGTGTGTGAACCAGTAATCGTCTCAGTTAGTATACCAGAAACAATGGCAATGAAGAGGCCGGCCCGTAAAGGCCACTGCTTTCTCCATTATGGTGGACTGAAGAGCACGTAGGCCAGAAATCTTGATTGGCGTGGCATAGTGTGTGTGTGCGTGCAGTGTGTGTGCGTGCGTGCATTGTGTGTGCGTGCGTGCGGTGCGAGTGTGCGTGTGTGTGGCGTGCGTGCGATCGTGCACGTGTGTGTGAAGAACTTTCTGAAAGTGTGCCACACTCTATCGTATGGAGATTCCGCAGCGTGTTAGGAACCATTGTTGTGGTTATATCCTTGCTGCGCTGTTGAAGGGTCAAAACAAAATCAGTTTCACTATGATGAGTAGAGCATTGACGCCATCCACTGGTGCCGTGGCGCACATCGGCGCAGACATTATTATCGCGGCCCGCACGGTGGGGTGACTGCAGGCATTGGCGGAGTTGATTTAGTGCTGTTCGGCCCCCACTCGTGTCAACCTCCGAGTTTACACGGGTTCGAGCCCCCACGCTCATCAACAATCGTGTCTTGTCGTTTTGCAAACAGCGAACCGTTTTGATTGGCAGATAGGCCAAACAGGTGTAGCCTTATTGAACGATGGCATGATGAATGCATATTTATCCGCCCATTCCTCATTAAAACTGCGGTTTTCCACGTCAACTTTACGCTTGAGACCCATTGACAGTGACATTTTTGCGTGCCTGGTAAACAATTTTCTTCCGTTTCCCACCAATCAGGAAACGGTATTAATAAAAAGGCTGATTCCTTTCCCTGCCAATCAGGACTGCTTTCAGTTTATTACCCCAGATACAGGCTTATAAGAAAAGAAATTCAATAAAGTGAACATATTAATCAATTAAATATATAATTGATTATGATTTTCATATATATATATATATATATATAAATCTCTGGCCCCCAAAAGTGTCTCTTGGATTCATTTGTTGATGACCTCTGATGTAGAGGAACTCTGATTTCTGGTTACATGTACACTTGTAGTGATAACCAATATGGGTCAGCGATATCTGAGTTAAAAAAATCTTAAATAACCCTACCGACAGTCATATATTCAGATGAAGAAAGGGGCAAAATGCCCCTTAAAATGATCAGAAACTACAGAAAAAATGTCAATAATAATATAAATCTAGCTGTCTATTGTCCGTTGGGCAATGTTATGCTGTTGATTATGTTCTGGCCATTTGTCCATCACATTCGAACATTTTTGGCAGACCCAAATGGTGATTAAGAATAGTGTGAAAATTGTGAAATCACTGCAGTCATAGGTCTTCCAGTTACCCTTTACTAAATGACAAATACACATTACCGCTGTCAGTTGTCATGAAGGGCTATATCCTATTTGGTCGTTGGCTGTAGTCTTTTCAGTATGTTCAAATGCAACTTTTTTGGCCCAGGCAAAGTGAGGCGTCACACCAGTCAGCTCTGTCAACACTTTCCTGATGTCTGTTATGTGTGTTTGGGCCTTTAACTCCCAAAGCAAGAAACATTTTTTCAGTTCACCAGAAATTATAATCTTATTTACCAATTTCTAAAACATCCGCCAGGCTAAATTTGTGGATGAAATAAAGAATGCGGAAATTTCCAACTGCAGTTATTTCCAGAACTTCCCATAAACTATGCATAATACTTATAAGACGGCTATTAAGAGCGAAACAAAAGCTTAAATAGAGGAACTTTCTCCAGTTTTCTCTTGAATAAACAAATGAAATGCACAAACAAACGATTGAACACTTGTCTTTTGAACATCAAGAGTGTGCTTATTATTTACTCATGTTTTCACCATTGCATTTAAATCTGGGCTAAAAACACAGTCAAATCGGCAACCATTACTCATTTTCAAGAGTTTCCCTAACATTTAGTTTAAAACCTGATTTATGCATCATAACATTTACACACAAATCCTGCAGATCCAATATTGCCACATTTTTCAAGAAAGAGATACTCATAGGGACTATACAGGAAGTATTTTCATAATTTCATAATTTCACAGCATATCTTTTGAATCATCCAACCTGATTTACAGTAATACAAACAGAGACGTAAAAAATATGTAACCATTTAAAAGGATTAACCCTTACAATTCAGCGATCTTTTCTCCCTCATGTACTGTAGCTTTAAGTTTGGTAAAACCTTTTCCTTTAACCTATTCTGTATCGGCTTCATCGGCTTCAATATTCATTATTCTCTCTGTAGTATTTACTAAACACTATATATACCCTAAGTATCTTAACTCTAATAGTGCAGAGAATGTTTAGGTAAAGTATCAACACCACAGTGTAAAAATCCACTCTACTCAAAATGTAACATTATTAAAGATGCCTTACCAGCTAAATCCTCTGAAATGTAGTGCAGAAGAAGCATAAAGTGCAGTTGCTTTAAATAGAAACATAAACAAAAAAATAATACTAGAAATAGATAAATAAGTAATGTATTTATTTAAGTACCTCAAGGCTATACTTAATCAAATAACTTTAACGTTCCCGTTCAGATAAACAGTGAAGCCGTCATTTCTAGCACTATATATAATCAAATCATGAAAAAACACTAAATACTAACCATATTTGGTGCAGTGACAAAGCACCACATGACATTTTTTTTTTTAATCACCAAGTCTCTCGCCCTAGTCATAGTCAGCCCGTGTCCCTTCAACCCTCCAGATCAAAAATAGGAGAGGGATTATTTGTGGGCCGGTGTGGTTTTAGTGTGTAAGATGGAGTGTGTGTTTGCTCCCCTGTGCAGCCAGAGCAGCAGTGGCGCACTTAGCATGGGCTTTAAATAGCTAACTCAAATAAAGTGAGAGAAGGCCGGGGATCAGAGGCTGAGAGGGACTCTGTGTGGGAGGCATTCCCGAACAGGAAGCCGGCCTTTGGATTTCCAAACAGCTTTTCGTAGGGCGAGCAATGCCAGGAATGTGATGTCGTCCAGCGGCGGCTGTGAAAACCGCCAGGCCACCAGGTGCTGGTGGGTCGCCTGACAGGAAGTGCAGCAGGAAGTGCAAGCAGAGGACAAAATGGCGGCAGGTGACTCAGCAGAGAGAGGACAGGAGCCAAACTGAAGGTTACTACCCAGAGCAAACTCTCTCCGAGTAATCTGTGAAACGGAAGACAACTCCCCCTATACCAAGGAGCCTCTTTCTCACCGACTAACCGCTATTCCACACTTTGCCTCCTTTTTTACACACTGTGTTAAATTTCTATTCTCTATTCTTTCGCATCCTTTTTACCTTTTGACGGCCTTCTTTGTGTGCAGGCTGTGGGAAACTTTCCCGCGATGGTGAGGTCATCCACCACCGACATCACCCCCAGCCCCCACTCAGACACTCACACACACACCATCAGTGCAACCCCCCCTCTCAACCTACCATGCTGTCCCCCTTTCTCCCAGGCCAGGCAGGACTGGGATGTGTCCCCACGTCTCTGTCCCACTTCCAGTTCCTCAGCTCCCTCCACAGAGCCTGAATAGAGCCTCATTCAAACCTGGTATCTGATGATCTGGCCTCTAAAAAGTCTCGAGCAGCATACAGAAGCTGGAGACAGACAGATCAGCAGATGTCCGAGGCACCTGGAGGCCTACTAGGCATTTAAACCACCTTTTTTCGGTCATGTGCACACCCTCGGATGTTCTTTTTCTCAAACGCACACAATGGCTTGGACACACTTTGACAGTGCCAAGTTTATTCAAGAGGGTGGTTCTTACTGCATGTGTCAACCTGCTCCATTAGCAACTGTTTCTTGCTATACAAATGTGGTTATAGAGGAGAGAAACAAAATAAGTGCCGTAAAATCAGAAACTGAGTATTTGTTGAATATTTCTAGTTCTGTGCATTTGAGAGCTCAACCCATCCATACTTATATTCAGAGTAAAGTGGGAAGTTTGGTGGCTGCTTACTGCCATCTATTGGCAAAACGGTTATCTACAACTTTTTACCTTAAAAGGTCAGTTTATTGCACGATCATGAAACGGCATATTGCAGATACACAGGAAGTTTAAGTGTTACTTGTTAATTATTTGTTTTGAACTTGCATGATTTAACAAAAGACCAAAACCACCAATTCATCTGCTAACAAGTATTGTGTAAGTATCGAAGTCTGAGCTGCTTCTTCTGTGCCATAGAGCTCAGTTGTTGTCCAAATACTTTTAAACACAACAATGAGCAAGATGACAAGTGACATCCTAACCTCGAACACACAAAATGTACTTTATTTGCACCAAATGTGGATTTATCCACTGCTCAAAATAGTCCTTAACAAATGCCCTTTTACTTCTGTCTTGCTACCAAGACAATTACCAACACCTCGATTTACCTGAAAAATTCCCATTTTTCATTGCTCTCTTTTGATGTCCTCCTGGGGTGACAACTCTCACACTTTTTCCATGATTCATGACAAATCGTTCACCTTTTTCTCCTCTTCATAATTCTTAAACGTTTTCTGGCACTGTACAGCACCAATAAAACTATGACTCTAAAGTCTACTTTCTCAAACTGGACATCAATACACCTGTTATTAGTTTCCGCTTTGGTTGGAAAATCCTCCGTATTTTTGGGGTCACAATGTTGGCAAGTATGGCTACCCATGCCAGTAAGCCGTTGTGTTTTTCATTTTGTCAACCCTAACCCTAACTCACTGAACTCTTCCTGTATGCCTGGACTGCATGTTGATCATTCAGTTGTTGCCTTGCACTCACCTGCATGACAGATTGCCACCGACAGGTTAGGGATATTGGCTAACACATTGTTTTGTTTTTTTGTCGAGTTTTTTATATAAAAAAATTAACAGAAAACAACACAATCCCCGTATTTTAAAAAAGTAACTCAAATAAAAATGTTCTCATTAGAAAACTTTACAAAGTTTAAAAGGGTGCCATTATCCTTCATTGTACCATAGGGGAAGAACATTTGTTGAACCACTATCTCAAAAACCCTGGACTAACCCTTTTTCAGTTTGAATGTAGCATACAGTGTTTTGGATCCTTCGTGAATTCAACAATTTTTTTTATGATGCCTTGAAACTAAAACATCTATTTTGATTCATTAAGTTATTAATTAACTACTAACATACTTAAAATATGTTTGTCATGAATCAAAATAAAAAATGATCACTGAAATAGTACATAGGCAAAAACAAAGTGTTATCTGATTCGTTTCGGTTACTGTCAACTTTCATTAATAAAATCAGTTAAACAAGATGACTGATAAATAAAAGAAGCTGTGAATGGAAAGAAATACTGAGGTGAACTGTTGTGTTAGACATTTCTCACAGTGACTGTATTTTTTCTCTTATTAGAGAAAATCTGAATATACTTTTAATGGCACAATAAATCTGTATTGGAGTTACTGTGAAGGGAACATTTTGACATCTATATTAATAATACAAGTATACATACACGGGCAGTTTACGTAACTCACTGGTATGTAAAATACTAAAACAATATGTGACATAGATTCTGAGGTTCACTGCCTTAAACCCTAATGTACAGTATGTTAATATACAAAAATATATGACAAGTATATTTAGGAAAATGAAAGACTTTCACAAATCAGTAAAAAGCGATAAATACTATAAACACAACTCAAAAAATCCATCTTAAGTACAAAGCGACCAACTTCGTCATGTGAGAGAATAGTTGGTTTTCTTTTAACAAATTAAAATGGACCGGTGGTTTGTACAAAAATGACTTTAAAACCTGATATACACATTTTTACCAAAAATTAACGCTTTTAGAATTATACCCTTGATTAAAATATGTGTTAATGGGAAGAATATCTGATATTCACCAATGGGCAAAGTCAGTGTTATATAGTACATTTGAAGATACAGGTCAGATAAAGGGGTCAGGATCTGACTTGTATATTAGATCCTCTGGGAAAGAATGTATGGTTTTATACAAAAGTAGTAAAAAGGTCCAATGACGCATCTTGAAGTAGTTACAGCCTCCTTCTGAAAAGTTTAACTTTTTAAATGGCCGTCTCGGCTCCCTCTGGTGGCGGCATCCTGCGGTGCAGTCAGTACAAAATACACGTGTGTTCTGCAGGATGGACCAAATGGAGTCAGTGGGTTCATAGTTGTTGGCTCTTCTTTTTCGATATCCAACCACATGATTTTGAGTTTGGATGTTGATCCCCAGTCCAGGCTCTCCTGTCTGCTCACTTCTTATGTGAGCCAATCATGACTTTTGAGACAAAGTTGACGATAGCGCTGGCCGGCTGCTCTGGGTCGTGTTCAGCAAACAGATGGCACACATTTTCAGTCTCGCTCTGAGCTTTCCTGGCTACAAAGCCAAAGATCCTGGAAGAAAGGGACAAAGAAGGACAAGACTATTTATACAAGAGCTTAACTCTTGTCTTAAATTACAATCGTGAGCAGGTAGAAGTGCAGAGTCTTGCTTAAATGTGTGAAATTGTTGTAGGTTTGGAGTTTCCTTTTTGAAAAAATAAAACCTCTCATAACCTTCATCCATCAAAAGACCATTCTCCATCCAGATTCTCAGTAAGTTGAGAGACATATTTTTGTTGAAATACAGCTATAGGTTTGAGTTTTGTGGAACCCTTATGATCTTTGCTGCACGTCATTCCCCATGTATCTCTATTCTGTCACCTCTCTACTGTTGACTCAATTAGAATACTTTTAATATTTATAACTTTTAATAACTTACCTTAAAAAAAGACTGTGTAGCTATTGAGATTCTGTGTGGTAAACCTCTGATGTAACATTATCAAACAGTCTCAGCACTGGCCAATTTCCATGGAACCAAGATAAACCTCTTTATAGTCTATTTATATAATAGCGGTACTTAATGCATCTATTGGTTGCATGTTCTTTTTGTCTTCCTGCAACCCCTGAGACGACTCTAGGCCATGATTTAGTAGTTGTATCAGTTGAGTGAAGATGTAACTTTCCTTGTATTTAATCAAGAAACTGTCAAGACAATGTTTAATACAATCTTGTAGAGAGCAATAAAAGAGACAATAACCGAGTTAAGAACATGAACTTACTTTGCAGTAGAAGCGCTGCCTCTTGTCCATCTGTTTGGGACAGAATAACATTAGAATAACACACACGTTATGACACTGTCAGTGGCTAAGCAGGACTAGGAACTAATAATCATATTCCAATTTATGTCAAAATCGGCATTCATCTTATAAACTGATACAATCAACATCATGATATGTATAGCCCTGCTCCCTCATAGATAAAACGGCATAAAAGTGCAGCGAATAAAGTAACATTTAGGCCAGTATTTATTTCAAAGTACCAATGCTTATAATGTGGTGATTTTGGTCTATATCCTTATTAGAAAAATCAGTTTGCAAAGTATAATTTGATTAGGCATGATACACAACAAGCAGGATCTGTTTGGTTATGAAGTTGATGCCAACTTGAAAAATACAGCGATCTGGTTCCAAAAATGTATAAATGGATTTTCTCTCATTTAAGAATATTGAATCATTTTAAATATGTGAATTCCTTCCTCTTAAATGTTCTCCTTCAATCTCGACGTTTTTTCTCACATATTTACAGGATTTATCTTGGAAATGTGGCCCCCCTCTCTCAGCTCTGTGATTAAGTCTTTCATAGATAGAAGCTAATGTTAAATATATATTTTCTTTCATCAACTTAAAATGAATAACCACTTCTTTGCAACTGTTTTCCAAATTGATGTAGAGGTAGCTTTCAGCATGAATGTGTATCACTGTGTGTTTTCAATGTGGCTTTTAATAAAACCACTTATTGAGAGGATTGTGGAGCATAGTAGTAGCAATATGCTCATTCCAATGGTTTCTTTAAGAATATACAGTACACCAATATGGAAAATATTGTTGGACTTCTTGTCACTGAATACTCACTTCCTGCCCTGCGGGTCCAGAGAACAGAAGATGACCGTGTTGACAGCATAGTGTCTCCTGAAGAACAACCTGCAGGAACAAACAGAGACAGTCTGTGTTAACATGTGGCCTCACGTCTGTATCTGTGTGTGTTCTGTCCGCACTAACACTCACTTCCTCTGGTTGTCAGTGAGCGTGATTCCCTGTGCCGACACTTTGAAGTGGACGACGGTGGAAGGCGGAGGGGGGTCCATGGAGAGCGTCATCATGGCTGCCTTCTGAACCGCCTGATGTCCCGTCAGAGACTCCAGCTCCACGGAGCCCAGGTACCATACGTTACACGCTGCACACGATATGAAGAGACAGTTCAACAAATATACAGCTTGAGTTATCGTCTAGTTGTTTGCTCACTGACACAAAGCAAAGGTGCATTTTGTTGCAAATATAAACTTCATTGAGGTTCCAAATGAGGAGGGTGTGTGTTCATAACAAGTCAAACACAGATTTGTATACACATGTGGTGTCTGTTCCGTACCTGCTCCCTGTTTGAGGAGCTCGGCTGCTGAGTTTGTCGCTGTCTGTGCAGGTGAGTCCGTCAGGTCCTCCACAGGGTCTGAGAACAACATCACACAAAGATTACTCACCAAGAAACACACAAATTACATCTGTATGCAATCAATGCATTTGTACCAGGCATGCTCTCACTTAGACACATACACATACGTACGGACACAAAAAGTATCTGGAATGGCCTATTACAAAGTAAAGTGAAACTAAAGTCACACATTTGACTACATACTGTAAGTAAGGTGTCCTACTTTCAATTATACATATAATTATCTGTAAATCACATGTTAATAAAAAAAAGCTTCTGCTTTTCTGTATTGAAACCCAATATCTATTTGCTTTGAGACGTGGCATTGTGTGTGTAGCAGTAAACTGTGTGTGAAAACTGTGCTGCTCTCTTTTTATGCTTTAATTTGTGTGTTTGTGGCTGTAGCGGCTGTGGTTTCATATTGTTTGAACATCTCTAGTTGCCTTGTGGATCCTTTATTGATTTAGTGCCAGGTTGTTTAAGTTGTGTGGCTTCATAATGCTAGTTGCACCCACCGTGGTGTCCCTAGCCCTTTTTGTGTTTTGTTCTTTTTTTAAATGTATTCTCGTGAGGGGGGAATAGAGGTTGTATATTCATAATTGATAGATTGATCAAGGGTTTCGTTGCTTAAGTTGTTCCACGTTTTAATTTAATCCAGTTTAAATACAAAATGTAAAGCAGAAACAGTACATTTTAACTGACAACTTTTTAAATGTGTTCTACTAGTCCAACACTGTCCATCGCTGGTCCTATAAAACAATTATTGGTCTTCAATATACCAACTATTCATTTTAACATGTAAAAATATGATACATGATAATATGAAGATTTTTGGCACTCAATGGGACTCTGAGCGCTCCTCTTAAAAGTGATGCTGGAGGTTGATACCTAGCTCTCCTTCCACACACTAAACTATCTTGCGACTCTGATCTCTTTTTCATAGCATTTTCCGTCATTTATGTTATCGGTTATAATATGTAATTGCATTTGTAGTAACTAGGAACACACTTTAATGGAAAGCAAAACTGAAAGTGAGTGCACCTGAAAAAAAAGAAAGTGCAGGACTACAGTAGGTTTGGTGTTAATAGATTAATATACCCATTGACTTTACTACTTGAAATTAACATTACTTTTTCTAACAGCTGTAGACTGCTTTGAATTTTAATACCAAAACAACCAAAACACTGAGCTGAAAGACTGTAAAATGCTCTTTAGCTCTGACTTGATGATAATGATCTTCCTATCCGTCACCACAAGCAACACCTTTCACATAACACAAAGTAGGCTTTTGTTGATAAACATTTATGTTTTATTGAAGGATACTCTACGATACATAATAAAAAGGTGTCCTTCAGAGTGTCGAGACCACACAGTCGTGAGGTAGTGTGGCGACAGACGGAACGTTTGAGTAGGCGACTGTCTCCATCACACACACCACACACACACACACACACACAACACACACAACACCACACACACCACACACACCACACACACACACACACACACACACACACACACCAACACACACACACACACACACAACACACACACACACACCACCACACACACACACACACAACAACACACACACACAACACACACACACACACACCACACACAACACACACACACAACACACACACAACACACACACACACAACACACACACACACACACACACACCACACACACCCCGATGATCTACTTTACGCTACTGAGTGAAAACGACTAAGTCCCACGCAAGTCAACGCGTCAGCTCACAACCCCTGCGTAGAATATTGCCAAAAGAA